CCGAAAGTCCCGGTTCGCATCCCACATTGGTACAATGTGTGAAGCCCGTTTCACGATGTTGCTGGAATATCGCTAAAGACGGTGTAAAACTAAACTCACTCACTCACCTGACTAAAGCACATGGTTTCCTTGTCTGTTCATATAATGATGTAGGTTCAGCTGAAGATACTTAATAATGGTGCTTTCGAATAACAAACACAAAATGATGGTTGATTGTCTATTTGCTCTTCATATTTCCAACCTGTGAAGATCCGGGTTAGAATATTGATCTTCAGCAACCCATGCTTGTCGTAAGAGGCGACTAACGGGATCGGGTGGTCAGGCTCGTTGACTTGGTGAACACATGTCATTGGTTCCCAATTGCGCAGATCGATGCTCATGCTGTTGATCACTGGATTGTTTGGTCCAGACTCGATTATGTACAGACCGCCGCCATATAGCTGGAATATTGCTGAGTGCGGCGTAAAGCTAAACTCACTCACTCATTTGTTTCACACACATCGTCGTATCCCAGTTACGTAGATTGATGCTCATGCTGTTGATCACTGGAGTGTTTGGTCCAGACTCGATTATTTACAGACCGCCGCCATATAGCTGGAATATTGCTGAGTGCGGCGTAAAACTAAACTCCCTCACTTGGTTCACACACATCAGCGTATCCCAATTACGTAGATTGATGCTCATGCTGTTGATCACTGGATTGTTTGGTCCAAACTCGATTATTTACAGACCGCCGCCACATAGCTGGAATACTGCTGAGTGCGGCGTAAAACTTAACTCACTCACTCACTTGGTTCACACACATAATCGCATCCCAATTACGTAGATTGATGCTCATGGTGTTTATCATTGGATTGTTTGGTCCAGACTCGATTATTTACAGACCGCCGCCATATAGCTGGAATATTGCTGAGTGCGGCGTAAAACTAAACTCCCTCACTTGGTTCACACACATCAGCGTATCCCAATTACGTAGATTGATGCTCATGCTGTTGATCACTGGATTGTTTGGTCCAAACTCGATTATTTACAGACCGCCGCCACATAGCTGGAATACTGCTGAGTGCGGCGTAAAACTTAACTCACTCACTCACTTGGTTCACACACATAATCGCATCCCAATTACGTAGATTGATGCTCATGGTGTTTATCACTGGATTGTTTGGTCCAGACTCGATTGTTTACAGACCGCCGCCATATAGCTGGAATATTGCTGAGTGCGGCGTAAAACAACATCCAGAACCATTGTTTTGTACGAATAATATGCAAACAACGTTCATGGCTTATAACAGTAAGCGTACCAACACATTCTGTATGACAGTAGTAAAGAATTTAGTAGTTCATCAATATATTTTTATCCTTCCATACTGCTGCAAATGCCTCTCAAAGAACTTAGACTACGTTCAACACTAAACCATGGAAATTTTAACATCAGACTGCCCAAAAAGTATCAGTCCACCATTTGCCTGATGCAAAAGCAAAATTCACGGAGTGATTTTTTTAAAGGTTATGGGACCTTAGTGGTGGGCTTGAAAGGAACAAGGGAGATAACTCCGATCGCCTCTAGTGCTTGTTTAGAGCTGATGCTATGAGTGTAATGATATGAAGTAGAGTCTAACCATTCTGATTCCGGAACAAGCCGGACACCACCACTACATGCTGGATGGCTATATAGTTATGTATAGTTTCAGGTCTTCTCAATAAACAGACACCACCACTACATGCAGGGTGGCTATATAGTTGTGTATAGTTTCAGGCCTTCTCAATAAACAGACACCACCACTACATGCAGGGTGGCTATATAGTTATGTATAGTTTCAGGTCTTCTCAATAAACAGACACCACCACTACATGCTGGATGGCTATATAGTTATGTATAGTTTCAGGTCTTCTCAATAAACAGACACCACCACTACATGCTGGATGGCTATATAGTTATGTATAGTTTCAGGTCTTCTCAATAAACAGACACCACCACTACATGCTGGATGGCTATATAGTTATGTATAGTTTCAGGTCTTCTCAATAAACAGACACCACCACTACATGCAGGGTGGCTATATAGTTGTGTATAGTTTCAGGCCTTCTCAATAAACAGACACCACCACTACATGCTGGGTGGCTATATAGTTATGTATAGTTTCAGGTCTTCTCAATAAACAGACACCACCACTACATGCTGGATGGCTATATAGTTATGTATAGTTTCAGGCCTTCTCAATAAACAGACACCACCACTACATGCTGGATGGCTATATAGTTATGTATAGTTTCAGGTCTTCTCAATAAACAGACACCACCTCTACATGCTGGATGGCTATATAGTTATGTATAGTATAGTCTTCTCAATTCTACATGCTGGATCTTCTCAATAAACAGACACCACCACTACATGCTGGATGGCTATATAGTTATGTATAGTTTCAGGTCTTCTCAATAAACAGACACCACCACTACATGCTGGATGGCTATATAGTTATGTATAGTTTCAGGTCTTCTCAATAAACAGACACCACCACTACATGCTGGATGGCTATATAGTTATGTATAGTTTCAGGCCTTATCAATAAACAGACACCACCACTACATGCTGGATGGCTATATAGTTATGTATAGTTTCAGGCCTTCTCAATAAACAGACACCACCACTACATGCAGGGTGGTTATATATACTAGCCACATAAAGAAACTGTGCATTGTCAAAATATTATCCCAGTTGATAAGTACGATAACAATGTCAAAGGTACATATAAAATTTAATGGAGGGATCATGAGACCATAACAAGTCGGGAGATTTTCAATTGAAAAGTCAATGACAATGACGTCACGAGTCCACAAGTGGGACAGGGGTCAAACGACCATGTCACAAGCTCAATAACGTGTATGTCCACCATGGGCATTGAGAACAGCAGTGCATCGACGACGCATAGAGCCTATCAAACGTGCAAGGAAGGCTTGTCGGATGTCACGCCAGATTCTCTCAAGTTCTGTTTCAAGGTCAAGGACGTTATCTGGCGGATGAGGAAGACGGCGTAGACGTTGATCCATCTCGTCCCAAACATGCTCTATCGGGGAGAGATCCGGTGAATTTGCAGGCCAAGGCAGTAAGTCAACTTTGTGGTGTTGCAAGAAATCCATAGCAACCCTTGCCGTATGAGGGCGGGCATTGTTCTGTTGGAATGTTAACCCAGGGCCATGACGTTGCAGAAAAGGAATTGCCACAGGTCGAAGAATCTGATCCCTGTAGCCCACACCAGTTAAGTTGCCCTGAACAATCACCAAAGGAGTTCTTTGGCGTGCTGTTATTCCAACCCAAATCATCACGGAACCACCACCAAAGCGATTCCTCTCCAAGACACAGGCCTGTGCATAACGTTCTCCCACGCGTCTATAGGCACGTTGACGTCCATCACTATTGGAAATGTTAAACCTGGACTCATCTGTAAAAACAACATTTCTCCACCAAAACCAGGGTGTGCGGACATGATTTCGGCACCACATTCGGCGAGCTTGTCGATGACGTTGTGTCAGGATAGGCCGTATGGCGGGACGTCGTGGTCTGATCCCGTGATGACGTAAACGTTGACGAACTGTGTTGGGGTGGATACGGTGAAGTCCTGGGATGGTTCGGGCAGTCAACACTGCAGTCTGAAACCTGTGGCGAAGATGGGTCACCCTTATCCATCTGTCCTGTCTTGGCGTTGTTACACGTGGACGTATCGTTTCAATAGCCGTTTAATTTTTTGAACGATCGCAAGGGCAGGGGTTGAGCTTTCCAAAGTGACAGTATTGTGTGTCATTCATTTGTTCTGTTTCTCTTTCCCGGAATGCACGTGCAACAACGTATTGCACGTCTCAAGGACGAACCCACTGACGTCACGGAACGTGGCACATGCATGCATGTTGGATACATGTCGCTAATCCCTGAGTTTACATCCTTATGTGTCTACACTATAGTTATGTATAGTTTCAGGTCTTCTCAATGAACAATGTCTGACACCAGCCCCGCAGTGCTAGGTCACCTCTGTCATTCTGTACATTAGCACTGGCACCATGGTCCAACAGCAGAGCCACCAACCGGCGGTAAACCTCTGTGTTGGAAGATGCTGTTGAAAAGGCCGCAATCTGTCTTTCTTCCGGTGACTTGAAGTCCAAAACAGAGACGTCCAGATCTTGGTTTAGCACTGCAGTATTTCTGGCAACCGAACACAACAGATGTAGCGGAGTGTTGCCTGCGATGTCCCTGCTCACAACATCAGCGCCGTGTCCAATCAGTGAGCACATATCCCAACATCGGGCACTTGACCAAAGCACAACACAACCTGATGGGACAAGGCAGTGTGTAAAGGGGTCCAGCCTTGGACATTTCTCAAATTTACATCAGCTCCTCTTCCCAAAAGGGCATCAACAATTTCTTTGAATCCCCTCGCTGCTGCATGATGCAAAGATGTGTCCCCTCGTGGTTTTGTCTGTTCACGTCAGCCTGTGCATTCAGCAGGAGGTCAACACAATCCAAAGACATTCCCCAATCTCCAGTCTCAAACGTCCTGTTGCCTTTCACATAAGCCCTTTGGTTGTATACCCGGTCGCCAAACCGACGATCTTTCTCTGTTAGTATATCGAGACACCATTTCGAACCCCTTCCTGATGCTATGTGAAGTGGTGTATCACCATTTCTATTTTGTATATTCACATCACATCCACTCTTCAGCAAGACTCCCAAGGATTTCTTGGATACACCCCAAGCTTCTAAAAAAGACATACATTTACGCCAGTATAATCCTTCGCCAATTCTTCTGCAAGTTCTCCTTTCCTCTGTTCCACATTGCTGCCAGTTCCATCTTGAAATAACACATCAGCACCGTCATCGTCTCCAGATCCAAGGTCAGCTGCTGTATAAACTTGACTTCTGCTTAAAGTGTGCGGGACATCGTGGTAAGACGCCTCGACAGCCTGATACCAGGCTCCTACTATCAATGTTATATGGAGCAATGTGTCGCCGTTACTATTCTGTACATTCACATCAGCTCCAGCTTCAATGAACTTTTCGACAGTGTAAGTGGACCCACGGGCTGCTGCTGTCAACATAGGTGTCTCACCTTTGTTGTTGCGCAGATTTATATCTGCTCCGACCTTTAACAATTTATCCACACCTGCTCCAGCAGGCGTGAACAAACAACCTGCGTGAAGCGGCGTATTTCCTTCATCATCCTGTGCATTCACATCAGCACCAATATTTATCACTGCATCAAGTGTCGGTCGAAAAACAGAAGCAGGAATGCTGAATGAAGAAGCGTACGCCCTCTGTTATCTCGTGCGTTAACAGAAAGCCCAGCTTTAACTAACGCATAGAGGCACTCTTCACTGCCACCGTGAGTAACTCCGTAAATAGACGTCTCCCCTTTATTATTGCACAGGTTAACATCCGCTCCATATTTCAGCAAAAGTTCTAGACAGCTTTTCGTCTTGTTTCGTGCAGCTTTGTGAAGTGCTGTGTACCCTTCGTCATCCTGTGCATTCACATCAGCTCCTGCCTCTATCAACATGCTAATGTATTTTGTTTCTCCATAACTCACAGCAAATTGCAGAGGTGTTTCACCTGTGTCATCCTTTGTGTTTACATTTGCTCCGGCTTTCAATAAACTGTTGACACATAACTCTTTATGACCACCCTTTACTGCAAAATGAAGTGGTGTCCAACCAGAAGTATTACCTGCCCTGATGTCAGCTCCAGCCTTTATGAAAATTTCAATATATTCATGCGCCCCTCTGAGAGCTGCGATATGTAAAGGTGTGTTACCTTTTTCGTCCTGTTTGTCCACATCAGCCCCTGCCCTCAACAACATCTCAATGTAAACTTTAGACCTCCAAAATGTTGCTATATGCAGAGGCGTGTCCTTCTCAACATCCTGTATGTTCACATCGGATCCTACATCCAGTAGCAGTGTGACGCAGTCTTCATATCCCAGCCTAACTGCTCTTTGAACCGCTGTACAGCCGTTGGTTTTGCATATGTTTGCATCAGCTCCAGCCTTCAGGAGCCTGGCTACATATTCATGAGCCCCAAGCTCTGCTGCAATATAGAGTGGTGTTTCACCTGTATTGTTCTGGGCATTCACGTCAGCACCGGCCTTCAGTAAGACATCCACACAGTCATGAGATCCAGTATCTATGGCTATATGGAGTGGGGTGTTGCCTGCTTCGTTCCGTACATTGACCTCGGTAGTCTTCATCAAAATGTCAACACATTGACTAGATCCACATCTGACTGATCTGTGGAGAGGTTTCTCGCCTGCCTGGTTAGTTATACTACAATCAGCTCCTGACTTCACAAGGGCATCAACGCATTCTTCAAATCCTGATTCTGCAGCAAGGTGGAGGGGAGTGTTGCCCTCTTTATTCTGCAGATTCACAACAGCCCCGGCCTCAATGAGCACATCTACACACGGCCTTGATCCCTCCATGCTGCTCTGTGTAAGGGCGTTTCAGATATATTGTTTGTTACATTCACACCACTCACAGGTTTTGTCATCACATCTTTCCGTCCAGTGTCTCCACTTGAAGTGTGTGTACAGTTATCCCCAATTTGACAGACTGCACCAGTTCGGTCAATCAGGAACTCTAACAATTCAGGCCTTCCCCCGTCAGCTGCAGAATGGAAAGGCGTGTCACCATTAGACGAAACCATGGCCATGTTTGCTCCTTTCTGAAATAGAAACTTCACAGTTTCTTTATCCCCAGCTTTACAGGCTGAGTGAAGTGGGCTGTCGCCACCCAGAGACAACGTGTTGACTGAAGCGCCCTTTTCAAACAGGATCTGTACTAGAGACAGTTTTCCACTTTGACATGCACTGCACACGACATCCCCAGACACACGAGCTCCCTTGTCTTGCAGCAACGTTATCAACTCCTCTTTGCCACTTCTGCATGCCAGGTACAGCGGAGATTCCCCAAATGTGTCTGTGACATTGACATCTACCTCTCCATCAGTAACAACTGCAGCAGCTGCTGTATGGCCGTATTCACACAAGTAATGCAAGACAGTCTTCCCCCAGCGGTCAGACGTAAATAGGTCAGGTCCATAGGAAAGAATCTGCATAACAAAGTCAGTGTCCTTTGTTTCCGCGGCAATCATTAAGGGTGTTTTTCTGACAGTTCCATATGTAGTGTTTATGTCTATTGCCTTATGTTCAGTCAGATATGTCAAGACATTTCCAGCAGAATGCTTGCAGACACCAAACATAAGTTCACTTGTTTGTTCTCGGCTGAGAGCAACGTTGCCTTCCTCCATGAGATAACGAAGTATGTTTGAGGACTTGCTGCTGGGAAGTAATTCCAGGAAAGAATCCCCTGATATCTGATCAGTGTATGTGATGAGATCATTCAGAGATATTGGATGATCCCTTGTCAGAGTGTCCATGAAAGTTTGAATAAACTCAGCATCTCCACACACTCTGTGAGACAGCACTAACACCAAGTTCCTGTTCAAGATCTCAAAAGCAAATCTCTTGGCCAAATCAGAAACGTACAGTCTGGGAATATGTGCCACTAACCCCGTCTCGCCATCAGTACTGCCTGTTTGGGCAGTTTCAAAGCGCAGTCTTTGGTGGATGAATGCTATACTGCAGTTGGTGATAACAAATCGTGTATGTTTTCTACTGAGAATAAAAGCAACACTATCATAGACGGAAGGGTGGTCGAACGTGTACGTGTCCTCCTCTAGCCCATTTCTAGGTGTCCCCGCCGTGATATTGCTGGAATATTGCTAGAAAAGCAGCGTTCTAAAACGTCTTAGTGTTCAAACTCACTCTACTCAGGTACTGAAATCTTAGTGTTCTAGAGGTACTCACGTCTTAGTGTTCTAGAGGTGCTGACATCACGTCTTGTGTTCTAGAGGTACTCACGTCTTAGTGTTCTAGATGTACTCAAATCTTAGTGTTCTAGAGGTACTGACGTCTTAGTGTTCTAGAGGTACTCACGTCTTAGTTTTGTTACTCAAGAGGTAGAGGTACTCACGTCTTAGTGTTCTAGAGGTACTCACGTCTTAGTGTTCTAGAGGTACTCACGTCTTAGTGTTCTAGAGGTACTCACGTCTTAGTGTTCTAGAAGTACTCACGTCTTAGTGTTCTAGAGGTACTCACGTCTTAGTGTTCTAGAGGTACTCACGTCTTAGTGTTCTAGAGGTACTCAAATCTAGAGGTACTCACGTGTGTTCTAGAGGTACTCACGTCTTAGTGTTCTAGAGGTACTCACGTCTTTGTGTTCTAGAGGTACTCACGTCTTAGTGTTCTAGAGGTACTCACGTCTTAGTTTCTGTATTGTAGTTAGATGTGGTTCCTCGTCCTCCTTGACTGGGGCGGCTTTGCCAATGTTCTGAGTTCCTCCAATGTTCAGATTCCCGGCTTTAGGTACGGTCACCTGCTGCTCCACCTTGATGAAGTTGTACTGGACCGCTGCAGAAGTGGGTGAGTGAGTGAGTTGATGATTGTTTGGGTGGGTGATTGAGATGGGGGATTGTTTTTGATGGGTGATAGAGAGTTGATAATTGTTTGGATATCCACTATAGTGAGTTGATTCCATGGAGCTGAGTGATCGTGAAAATAATATTCGAAAGCTGCTACTAACCAGCCTAGAGAATGTCTTTAATACTGGGTGTATCGAACATCGGCTGCAGTATGCACTCTTTGTGTAATAAGCAATGTAATCTTGACCATCTGGTAGATATTCCAGATGACTGTTTATCATTCACTGAAATGAAAGTATCTTTGAAAATAGTACGATAACTTTTAGAAAGCAGCTCTCGTACTGGCTAATATCGGCGTCTTCTCGATCTTCGTAAAATTAAGAGCTTTGTTATAATAAGCGATTTAATGGCTTGGGAAGTCAAAGCCATTGATGGCGTGCCAACGTACCTAGATGTGGTTGATTAGCTTTGGCTGTCGCTAGCCATGAGCCTGGTGCAGGTGTGAGTTGGCCTTGAGTTGATGGTAGCCCTGAGCCTGGTGCAGGTGTGAGTTGGCCTTGAGTTGATGGTAGCCCCGACACTGGTGCAGGTGTGAGTTGGCCTTGAGTTGATGGTAGCCCCGACACTGGTGCAGGTGTGAGTTGGCCTTGAGTTGATGGTAGCCCTGAGCCTGGTGCAGGTGTGAGTTGGCCTTGAGTTGATGGTAGCCCCGACACTGGTGCAGGTGTGAGTTGGCCTTGAGTTGATGGTAGCCCTGAGCCTGGTGCAGGTGTGAGTTGGCCTTGAGTTGATGGTAGCCCTGAGCCTGGTGCAGGTGTGAGTTGGCCTTGAGTTGATGGTAGCCCTGAGCCTGGTGCAGGTGTGAGTTGGCCTTGAGTTGATGGTAGCCCCGACACTGGTGCAGGTGTGAGTTGGCCTTGAGTTGATGGTAGCCCCTGAGCCTGGTGCAGGTGTGCAAGTTGGCCTTGAGTTGATGGTAGGACTGGTGTTGGCCTTGAGTTGATGGTAGCCCTGAGCCTGGTGCAGGTGTGAGTTGGCCTTGAGTTGATGGTAGCCCCCTGGGTGCACTGTGAGTTGCAGTTGTGTGACACTTGGCCTTGAGTTGATGGTAGCCCCGAGCCTGGTGCAGTTGGCCTGGTGCAGGTGCAGGTGTGAGTTGGCCTTGAGTTGATGGTAGCCCCGAGCCTGGTGCCATAACACAACAATGGTCAATCAGGTGGAAGTTGGCCTTGATGATGGTCAACAATCAACAATCTGAAATATAACAGTCAACAATCGTCTGGAAATATAACAGTCAACAATCGTCTAGAAATATAACAGTCAACAATCGTCTAGAAATATAATAGTCAACAATCGTCTAGAAATATAACAGTCAACAATCGTCTAGAAATATAACAGTCAACAATCGTCTGGAAATATAACAGTCAACAATCGTCTGGAAATATAACAGTCATCTAGAAATATAACAGTCAACAATCGTCTGGAAATATAACAGTCAACAATCGTCTGGAAATATAACAGTCAACAATCGTCTAGAAATATAACAGTCAACAATCACCTAGAAATATAACAGTCAACAATCGTCTGGAAATATAACAGTCAACAATCACCTAGAAATATAACAGTCAACAATCGTCTGGAAATATAACAGTCAACAATCATCTGGAAATATAACAGTCAACAATCATCTAGAAATATAACAGTCAACAATCGTCTAGAAATATAACAGTCAACAATCGTCTGGAAATATAACAGTCAACAATCGTCTAGAAATATAACAGTCAACAATCGTCTGGAAATATAACAGTCAACAATCGTCTAGAAATATAACAGTCAAGAATCACCTAAAAATATAACAGTCGATAAGCATCTGGAAATATAACAGTCAACAATCGAAATATAACAGTAACAATCGTCTGGAAACAAATATAACAGTCAACAATCGTCTGGAAATATAACAGTCAACAATCGTCTGGAAATATAACAGTCAACAATCGTCTGGAAATATAACAGTCAACAATCGTCTGGAAATATAACAGTCAACAATCGTCTGGAAATATAACAGTCAACAATCGTCTGGAAATATAACAGTCAACAATCGTCTAGAAATATAACAGTCAACAATCGTCTGGAAATATAACAGTCAACAATCGTCTGGAAATATAACAGTCAACAATCAAATATAACTGTCAACAATCACCTGGAAGTATAACAGTCAACAATCGTCTGGAAATATAACAGTCAACAATCGTCTGGAAATATAACAGTCAACAATCGTCTAGAAATATAACAGTCAACAATCGTCTGGAAATATAACAGTCAACAATCGTCTAGAAATATAACAGTCAACAATCGTCTGGAAATATAACAGTCAACAATCGTCTGGAAATATAACAGTCAACAATCATCTAGAAATATAACAGTCAACAATCATCTAGAAATATAACAGTCAACAATCATCTAGAAATATAACAGTCAACAATCGTCTGGAAATATAACAGTCAACAATCGTCTGGAAATATAACAGTCAACAATCGTCTAGAAATATAACAGTCAACAGTCATCTAGAAATATAACAGTCAACAATCGTCTGGAAATATAACAGTCAACAATCGTCTGGAAATATAACAGTCAACAATCATCTAGAAATATAACAGTCAACAATCGTCTGGAAACTATAACAGTCAACAATCGTCTGGAAATATAACTGTCAACAATCATCTAGAAATATAACAGTCAACAATCGTCTGGAAATATAACAGTCAACAATCGTCTGGAAATATAACAGTCAACAATCATCTAGAAATATAACAGTCAACAATCGTCTGGAAATATAACAGTCAACAATCGTCTAGAAATATAACAGTCAACAATTCTATTCACCTTCATTTACTACTTGATAGGAATGTTGAGTGATAGTTTGACAAGTAATGTTGCCGAAAATAGTTCCGAGATCGGTTAAATCAGCATTGCTGTCCCCTTCTCCGTCATCTTCCTCCTCCTCCTCCTCCTCCTCTTCCTCGCTATAGTAAAGATCCTCGTCCTCGACACTCCCTTCTTCTCTAAAATCGCATTCATCGTCTTCCTCATCAGCCGTCACATAGTCATCATCATCATCAACGTCTGTGTCCGACATTTCTCACCGACACCGCGGGTCACCCGTTGACCCTGTTGACTAAGACGCCTCACTTTAGGTACACATACCAATCGCCAATCTGCAAGGGTCTAGCTCGTCGTAGGTTCGAATCTCAGATACTTATCTGTGGTTTGCCTGCTCCATACCCGCCCAGGTAGGTTCAAAGGGATAAGCCAGTAATCAACCACAGGTGACAGGAGGTGACCTTTCAAAGCAGTGGCAGGTAATATTAATTCCTCGGGGTGATCTTGAACTACGTTCTAGCTGAAATAAATATACTGGCAGTAATCATGACAATTCTCCTTTGGTGCCGTTTGATGTGAAGCGACACTCCCATGAAGCAGGTCCAGATCTCATTCTCATTCTACCATCTCACAGGCTCGTTTACAATCAGAATTTAATGACTTGTTTTCAACCAACTTTTCAGTGAAAGATTCGTTGTAACATACGACAGCTTACAATATGTTGAAGTGCATAGCACACAGCAATATGTAGCATACGGCATTATTGAATACAAGTACATACATCACATATACCAATATTTACCCAGAACATTATTGAATGCAACAATTAATATTATTTAGATTACCAGCAAAATAACATACATCAGTGTAGAACATTCAGCAATGTATAACATACATCAGTGTAGAACATTCAGCAATGTATAACATACGTCAGTGTAGAACATTCAATGTATAGCTCCAGTATAATAACATACGTATAACATACATACATCAGTGTAGAACATTCAGCAATGTATAACATACGTCAGTGTAGAACATTCAGCAATGTATACGTCATAGAACGTCAGTGTAGAACATTCAGCAACATGCAATAACATACGTCAGTGTAGAACATTCAGCAATGTATAACATACGTCAGTGTAGAACATTCAGCAATGTATAACATACGTCAGTGTAGAACATTCAGCAATGTATAACATACGTCAGTGTAGAACATTCAGCAATGTATAACATACGTCAGTGTAGAACATTCAGCAATGTATAACATACGTCAGTGTAGAACATTCAGCAATGTATAACATACGTCAGTGTAGAACATTCAGCAATGTATAACATACGTCAGTGTAGAACATTCAGCAATGTATAAC